AAACCAAACCCCCCCCCCCCCCCAAAAAAAAAAAAAAAAGAGGAAAGAAAGAAAAGGAAAGAAAGCATCTTTAGCTTCAGGACCATACAGGATTTCCTTCCTCATGTCTGACTTGTCTGTTTGCTGTCTTTTCTCCCTCCCCCTAGACTCCATGCACATAGAGGACATGGATGCAGTGCAGAAACTCCAGGACCTTCTCCACGAAGCCCTGCAGGACTACGAGCTGAGTCAGCGCAACGAGGAGCCCCGGCGAGCAGGCAAGCTGCTCCTGACCTTGCCCCTCCTGCGGCAGACGGCCGCCAAAGCTGTGCAGCACTTCTACAGCATCAAACTGCAGGGCAAGGTTCCCATGCATAAACTCTTCCTAGAAATGCTAGAGGCAAAGGTCTGACAGCCCCAGTGCCAGCCGACAGTGGCCGGGGAACAAACTAGAAACAAAGATGCAGACAACGGAGCAATCCAAACAGCAGCAGCAGCCACCGCCGGCTTTTATCTCCAGTCATTTATTATGGAAGAATTATTTAATGTCTATCTGTCGGCGTGACTGCAGAAATCTCGTGTACAGGAGGGGGGAAACTCTTTTAATCAGTCACCTGTTTCTCTTTTTTTCGTTTGTTTTCTCTGTGGGAAATACCAGAATATGCTCTTGCACTTGTTGAGGCGGTCAATGGGGCTTAGCCCCTCTGAGCAGTGATGCTCTCAGCGCTGCCCAGGCCGCCTGCTCCCCAGCTCCCTCCGCCAGTGCTGGAGGGGGAGTGGGGACAGAAGCAGGAAGAGAGGAAGAATAGAGTCAATATAAACTTTATCTGCTGGTGTTGTGAGGGGTCAGATAGAAAGGGAAGCAGCCAGGGTCCTTCTTTTTGTCACCTTTCTGGCTCTAACCATAGAGCAGATGCTCCTTTGGAGAAGAGTGCTGCTGGACCTCTCCTGATTAAAACGGCTGCTTCCCAGGCTCCTCTAGCGACAGCTAACACTTGTACATACAGGCCCCATTTCTCACTGGGAAAGATGCTCCTAACTGTGTAAGATATTCTGCGACCTTGTACAGTGTGTCATTACGCCTGGCTAGTCCCTCCCATGTACAATCCCCGCAGGCCCCTGAAGAGGTAGGATGTATGACCCTGAGAGAATGCAAGTCTCCTTTCCCAGATGGCAAGAAAAAGAGAAGAGCCTGATGTTATGCTTCAGTGCTGGGTTGACATGATAATCTCTGCATCCTCTCCTATGTGGTGCTAACTACAGTTCTTCCACACTTTTCACCCCATAGTGTATCAACCTGCCTCTTCAGCTCAGCTGAGTGCCATTCCCCACTTGTTCCTTGTGGCAGAGAACACAAGGCTTTGTCTGCATGGTTACTGCCCAAGTATAAATACACCCCAAAACAGGGCTTTCCTAGACTTCATTAAAGTGAATAGCTCTTTGCCTCCAAAAAGATTTAGGCTTATTGCCAAATGCTAGTTAGGAATCAAGGGCACTGCTTTTTGGAGGAGGCAGCTCTTGAGCCTGAGAGATTGCTTTTTTGTGGCAGCCTAGGGAAATAAATTAGAGGGTGGCATGAAACCCCCGATATCTCAACTACTGTCTTCCCCTGCCTCATCCCATTATCCTCAACAGCAGCAAAAGAGCTAGCATAGATTATACGTGGGCCTGGTAAGAGGTTCTCTTGCTGATGGGAAAGCAAATACCTGACTTTGAGGTGGTGGGAGAAGTGGGGGAATGTTTACTCTCTCACGTAACCAGCTTCCTGCTGTCTCCAAGCCCTGGTTTAGATTTGCTGCCGAAGCCACAACTGCTGCATTCCCAGTAGCCAGAGGGGAATGTGGGTTACTTGACAAAACTGGCTGTTGGCATTCTCTGAGATTTTACTTTCTAGGTCACTTAGTTTTGAGGAGCCTGAGCTGATGAAACCTGAACGTATTGTCTGTTTTGTGGTCAGCGGCATGGCAGTAGAGGTGAGAAAAAGCCTCTGATCTACATTAGAGACACCACGAGCTCTACTGCCTCTGTTCCCCTCAAGCTTCCACCCCTTCCTGGCTAGCCCAGGAGAAAGGTGGTGTGGCAGAGGAGTAACTTGTCCCCAGCAGGCAGCCTTCCAAACCAGGGTTGAGGCACGTGATCAGGGAGACACTGGGTGCTTGTTTTCTGCTGGAGCAGAATGTGTCACAGCAGGGCTGTCAGTGCTGTAGAACAACGCCCAGGCTAGCTCAGAGACTGGGGGTGCTAACTCATGCTGACCTCTCAGCTCTCGTAGCCAGCTCGCTCCTGGTACTTGAGTTACTTCAGTTCCATCTCTTCCGAGTTTTCCCTACACTACCCAGTCGTAGCTACTCTCACTCATTTTGTACTCACTTGATAAAGGAATTCAGTCTTGCTTCAGGCACATTAGTAAACCAACAGAGACCTAAGGGGCAGGACGCACATGGGAGCTGGGACTGCTTCCATGCTCACAGCAGTAGCAATTACACAGTGGCCTTGTGCTTTGAACAGATACTTGTACTCTCTCCCCAGCTGGCAGCTGGGGAGAAAATGAGAGGCTTTTGGTAGCGCTCATGTTCCATCTGTGGCTGAGAAGGACCAAAGTGAAATGCATGCCACCACTATAGAGCCAGCTTGCCATGTGCTACACCCTGGCAACTCTTTCCGGCTGTGGCATAAATGGTCTCACAAATGCGCTGGGTTGCGCTATCACCTGTAAGTTTGACTCACTTGATCACTGTTGCTTCCCTGCTGAGTCCCACCCAGCTCAGCCACAGCACATTGTGTCCTGACCTGCTATGCAAAGGTAGCTGTCGCAAAATGGGCTGAAAAGATACTGAGAAGCAATTCTTACTCTGTTGGACCCTGGCTGGAAAGGTCACTTACAAAAAAAAAAAAAAGAAAAAAAAAAAGGCTCTTCCAGCTTTATTGTATTTGGACTCGGGCCTGCTTTCCAGAACAGGGAGGGAGAACTATCTACAAAACATGATTATGGAGAGCTGCCGAGTTAGCTTCTAGCCCACAGAGACTGCTGGCTGTTTAGAGTAGGGCTATGGTATGGAGGCAACTCCTGCCTTGGCAGAACAATATAAAGATACCAAATACATTTTTTTCCAGGACCTTCTTTCTCCATTACAGCTGCATAACCTTGGAACCCATCTGGATATCCCCCATTGCTTGAGAGAATATGCCTGGAAATGTTTGCATTGCTTCTGAAATAGGATGGGAACTGAACCAGACAGTAATTAGCATATATTAATCTCTTTAAGCAAGGAATGCAAACTCTTCCCCAGGAACTGGGACAGAAACACCTGTCTAGATTTAACCCTTAAAAGGCCTGTACCATCTTATATTGGGAACCAGGTCAGGTCTTGGGCCCTTCAGACCAGTGCAGGAATCACACGCATCTCTTCCCAGTTATTCTGATCTGCTGTGCATCGTTAGTACTGTCATGCTGCCACAACTGAGAAGCATGTCCAGCATTGCAGTGAGCTGGGCTTGCAGAGAAGGGTAACATCTTAGTGTAGTCCTCTCAGTGCACTTTGAAGTAGGAAATGAGGCTTCAGCAACTGCTTAGGTCTTTGAATGCTCACAGTCTCTTACAAAAAGGTCTGGAGATGTGGAAGTTGAGACATGAACTAGGAAATGGGTTCTGGGTCAGTGCTCTTTATACCGTTCCTGTGTAATATAGGAGTCACAGAGTCAGTGCCATACAGCTGTCCTTCTACATGGGGCAAAAGATGATGGAGCTTGAGCCTTGGGACACAAATGGGCTCATGACTTAAAGAAAAGCAAAGCAAAGCTGTATAGGTAAGTGTATCAGTGACAGTGAATAAGCATGAAGCCCACATCCAGCAACTATGGTAAAAGCAGCTCCAGCCCCTGATTTGCATGTGCAGATAACAGAAACCACGTACCTGTCAGCTACTACAAAAGGCAATTCTTCCCAAGTGACCAGCTCTTCTGTTTCGGGCACATTCTTCTCTGGGAACAGCGGTGCCTGGCCTGTAATGCAAAACAAATTTCATGGGGATCAATTAAAAGAAAAGGTAAAATACCACACAGAATTAGGTTTCTGGGGAAACTTGGGCATTACACCTCGCAGCAAAACTGTGAAGCTATAAGAAACTCCCCCACAACAATCAGAACCTTGCAGTATTGCTCATGCTAAGGGGGCATTATTTTTCTCTTTATAAGCTAAGTAATCTTTTTTTTTTTTTAAACTATTACAAATATATAAAATAAAACATGCTGCACCAGAAACATGTCAGCAGCTATTAGAGGGGAACGTCATTGAGAAAGACCCTAGAATGTAACTTGTTGAGCTTTTATTACCAATCAGAGATGAGAAAAAGAGCTTCCACTTTGTATCCACAAGCTATAATCGATCATATGGCCAAAGGCCACTCTGTTGTTCTTGTGGCTGGGTTATGTGGAGAAGCCAGAGAGAGACAGGCTGTGAGAATGATGCAGGGAGTTATAGACTGTCAGTGAAAAACAGTATCTACTTAACTATTATCTGCTCCTAAAAAAAAAAAAAAGAAAAAAACCTGTTAAATAAATTGTATTCTTGTGGTACAGGTCATTTCAAACAAAACAAGAAATAAAACACAGAAATGTAAAAACTAACCCAGACAGAGTAATGTTTATTGTGTTTAGGAGCTGCTCCGTTCTGTTCCTTGGGATATACATAGTCCCATGGAAGAGGCTGGGGTGGGGGAAGGCATGATCTGTGTGTGCTGTGGAAGGGGAGTAGAGCCCCAGTCCTCTCACTTCGAAACGCTCATTTGGTGTTTTCCCATATCCAGAAAAAAAAATTCTCAGCAAGCTTCTGAGTTTTTGTGAGATTAGCTTTGTTGAGGACTGGTTAGACAGGCACTGTTGTCAGTCTCTGCCATGGACTGGTCTGTTTCTTCCACTCACCCATTTTCTCCCCACGTTCTGCACTTCACTGGTGCAAGAAATAAACATGAGCTAGCAATGAAAAAGCCTTGAAGTTGTTCCAGTGAAAAGCAAAATCTCTAATCATAAAATAGACCACTGGCTTAAACCCAACGGTGACATCATGAGTGTTGCAAGCTGTCCAGTGCTTATAAAGTGGGTGCAAGTGCTGAAGTCATGGCATTTGCATTGATCTGGCAGTCAGGCGGTGCAGGAGGGCAAGCTCATGTCTGCTTGAGAAAGCAGAAGGAAACACACTGTGGTAATTGGGGCAGAGATGTGAGAAACAAGGACCCCAGGTTTTTATTCTACCTCTGACTCTATTGAGCACAGATAGCATCACACCCTGTCTAAGCACTGCCATCTCCACACGCCTCGCTTAGCCAACACTGCTAAGGTTCTTCTCCCAGGCAATGGCACTCACTGGGATGATGCATCTAAACCAGGCAACCAAGAGGCTCTCAGCCTGCCCGCAGGAGGAGGAGGAGGAGGAGGTGGCTGAATTAGTGGTGGCCGGTAGGAAAGGCCATGGGCTAGAAATGAGCTTGAATGAAAAAACAAGATGAGCACAGAGCTGGAGAGGGAGGTGAAGCATGACAAGGTTTTTCTACACTTACAACAGCTACCCCCAGCCCCACAGTCACCACCACTCTGATTGTGACAGGCTCAACCTTTAAACCAACACAATCCCTTTCCAGGTTCACATAGGCACCTCACAGTCTCCCCCATAGCCCACCTGCATCGAGTGCTTAGGCCCTCTGAAGGTTGTATCTGTCCACAGAAGGTTTGGATTTGGCCACCACAGTAGTATTTTAAAATGGACTTTACTTCGGGTTAAATATAGCACAGGGACAGTCAATCTGTGGCTTTGTGAAAGGCAGCAGTTTTGGGGTTCTGAAAAGTTTATGTGGCACTGGAGCTGCCGGTGTCAAGAGATTGGTAAGGGTAGCCAGAGGACTACAGAGAGCCCAGGCCCCACTGGTCTCTTCAAACACCATTCAAGGGATGTAAGCTTTCCTCAGTCCCTTACCTCTAAGTGGCAGCTGCCTGCATGACATTTCCTGGGCACCCTTCTGCTTTGACTAGGTTTTTCGAGACTTTCCTTACTATCGTTCACTCACACTGGAATTAAAAAAAAGGGGGGAGGGGGTTGTCTTTATAGTAAGCACACTGAGCATTGGGAGAAACTGAGGACAACCTGAAATTTCCTCTTACAGAAGAGCTTCACAGGAAATACTAGAAAAATATATTTTCTCTGATTAGCTGGGGAGGGAAGGAGGTTTCTTTACTAATCAATGTGGAGTTCTCTAAACACATTTCTCTCCCCCAAGTTAAAGGCATGCTTAACTGCTGGGATATGTTCTTAAGCTCCAAATGTTAAAACATGATTGCAGTAGTTTGTGGGTACCTGCACACAAAATAAAATGAAAACCAAGAAGATTTTTCTCTTTCAGGCTAAGGTATCACACAGGGAATCAAAACAAACATTAGCTGATGTACAGAAAACTTCAGTGTTCAACTTTCCAGTAACAGAAAGCTGGAGAGGTTGCGCTGTGTGCCTGGCTTTCTTTACAAAGACGTTCTCTCCCATTGCAACCATTCTGAAATGACACCATGGCAAAACCTGAACACCTGCACCTGGGAGCAGGAGGACTAGCCCAGCAGCATGCTGGGGTGGCTGGAAGAGACAGAGGCTGGTAAGCGACTAATGCGAGTTGGGTTTAGAAAGCACCAGGATGGTTCAGCAAAACACAACAGCCCTGATCTAAAATACTGCTGCCAGCCAGCCAAAAACAACAGCCTTGCTCCAAAAGAACTGCAGCCAGTGAGTCTCTCTATATTAGTGCTAATCAGCTTTGAGAGGCCCATCATGCTTCTGGTCTTTGTGTGCTTCCTTCCACAGGGCTTGGGTGAGGCTAGAAAAGTCTTCAGCTCTGGGAGTAGCAGCATCCAAATCATAACAATTACAAGTAGGAGTGAAGTCACAGGGAAGATCAGAACTGGCCAAAGGCTCAAAGCATCTTTTGTAAGAAAAACTGAGAAGACAGACAACAGCTACCACTGACACATGACAGATTTGCTAAAGACTTCAGTGCTTCACCGAGCCCTTCATAAATCTAACCAGTCACACACTGTCTGCAACCATCTCTTGGCAGCATGCATAGCACATGCAGAAACAGCTGTATTGGTTCAGAACACAGGCCCATTTAGGCCAGTGCCCCCTCTCTGCTAAAGTGGCCAGCAGCAGATGACCAAAGAACATAAAGACAGGGCAAGGAGGTATAATTAAGTCTCCCAGTGATTTAAGGATCAAAGACTACTGAGATTAGGTCTTTGCATTTAACAACCCCCAATGATTTTTCTTACAGTAATTTCTCCAGTCCCGTTTTCAACCACAACAAGCGTTCAGCCCCCACAGCACCCTGAGTTCCATGGACCAGTGCTCAAAGAAGTATCTTCTTTGCCTTTTCTGAACATGCCATCAGCTCATCCTATTTCGTGCTCCTACAGCTTGTATTAGAAGACAAAAGAAACAGTCCACTGCTGCCTTTTCCCTACCATTCTCAATCTTCTAGGTGTCTCGATTTCACCCACAGTCATTTCTTTTCAGGGAAGAAGTAGAGCTGCCAGCCTTACCTCTTCACTGGGTACACAGTGCATCAATTAAGTTAGGAAAATGTGATAATGAGAAAGGCAAATGGCCTTCCACCACTTGATCTTGATGCTTTAAAGACAAGTACAAAAACCTAGTCCCTGTCTGAGATGCAAAGACAGATACAGACCTCTCTTTCTGTAGCTATCTACACACAAACATACACACTCATTGCATCTCTTAGTTATGCTTTCATTCACAGCACTACTGGAGTTCACATTTACATTCAAAATAGCTTAGAAACAAGATTAGCCTATTTAAACCATATTTTCCTAACAATAATAACAATAACAGATCGGAATCCTTCCTCCTTTACACGGATGCAGCCTTTTCCCCAACAGATCTTTTTTCTCTTTTTCATCCATCTGAAACAAACAGAGGCAACTAAAAAGGCACCTTGGCCTTTCTCTGATATAATCCTTTTATTATAACACAAATGAGTGTTTTAAAAATAGAAGATTTTAATGCATTCCTTGATGTATTGAATAAGAGATTTTTTTTAATTTATTCCTTCCTATTGCACAATAAGAAGCTGGTTTCTGTTTAGAAATCCCAGCTTGCTTAATTCAGAAATACCAAACTCTTGCTTTTCTAAATGCTTAAAATCAGCACATTGACCATTCTATAAAAAGTCTCAGTATCAAGTGCATTATTTTGATGAATGAAATTATTATACATTTTGTTCTCTGATTTCAAGAAACTGGCATTACATTTTCAATAAGCTTTATCACACATCCCCGATGTAACTGCAATTGTTGAATAATAAAAGGCAGGGCAGTGATCAGATAAGGAGAAGCCAGGACAGAGCAAACTGAAATAATTTTGCCTAAATTGGCAAGAATCAACACAAAACAAGGCTGCATTTAATAGATCGGTTAGAACAAAGCACATAAATCATGTTTTTGAGAGGGGTTAATTTACACCATATGCCAATTAAGTCAAGTGCAATACATAAGTTATGAATAATCTCATTGGAGTGAAGAGTGTTATATTTGGAAGGAAAACAATTTAACTGAAGCCAAAATTATAATCACCTTCAATAATTACATTTCCAGCACTGTAAATTTTTTTCCATCGCAACACTGAAAGCAGTCAATGCTGCAAGTAATTTTCTATTACCATTTACATTATTAAACTCAAACACATTAACCAAACTCTTGTTTATATTTTTTGTCAGTGGTTAATGCTACTACAAATGAATGATCCTTTGGGTCAGTCTTAGGAAGTACAATTTCATCAGATATTTTTCAATCTAATGAATCCTTGTAGCCAAGCCTAGGGTAATCACTTATTTCCCCCATTGTTTCTGTCATTTCCCCCATTGTTTTTGTCATCACATCATAAAAATTCAGCAGTGTCCTAAGGGAGTGATGCTTATGGAAGCAGCATTAGCACAGGCATTAGCTTTTCAGGGTGCTATCCCCAGCTCTGCCACTGCCTTGAGCTCTTCTAGCTCAGACTCACTTTTTCTAGCTGCAGAAAATCCTAAATCGCTACTGCTGCTTCTGCACATTTCTTCTTTCCACTGCAACTCTACAATTGCTCACCATCAGGCACCTGCTATGATCCAGCCTGTTTCCCTGGCTAATCTTTGATAGGTTTTGGTTCCTTCACTACTGTGATAGCCTCTCCTTCTCCTGCCTCCCTCCTCCTGTCCTGTTTCTGGCCCACTGCCCACGTGGGTGGGGAGGCCACCAGTGAATAGTTGGTCCCCTGTGGCAGCTGACCCCACTGAGCTGCTCCAAACCCCTTGCGGGATAGGCTGCTCCAGCTCCCTTAAAAACAAGGCCCCCATGGCTAGCAGCCAGCTCACTGTTCTGGATACCTTCCACTTGGAAAGAGGGTCATCCCAGTTAACAATGTTCATTGTTTCCCATTGCTGAGGCTCTGCTAAGATGCCCTGGCCTTCCAGCTCTGCAAGGAATGCAATGCCACTCAAGTGACACTCACCAAACCAAGGGGAGGGCTACAGGACAGCATTTGCAAAATGACACCGTTACTGCCATTTGGGCCAGGTTATCCTTCCCCTTCAT